TATATCTTTATATTATTTTTATATTTTTTAATTTATATCTTAATGTAACATCTATTATAATTAAAAAGTTTAATATTAATATTTTGTTAATATGTTTTAGTTTTTGTTTGGTTATAATCTTTTTTTTAAATTTATAGTATAAATTAGTTTTTCATTTGTATTATTTATTTTTTTTATTTTAATTTTTTTATAATATTATTATATTTTTTTTGTTTTTAATTTTTTAATTTTGTGACATATAAATAAAAGTTGTTATGAAAATTGATCTTTTGATTATTTTTTTTTAAATTAGTCTTTTTGATTCATCTTATATAAAATTTTAAATATAATTTATAAATATAAATGACGTGGCTACAGCAACAAAATTGATGGAAATACGACACATAGCAGGTTTTGCAAACAGCTGTCAAGACCTGAGCATTCTCTATGGTTAAATCATACGTGTTGTTCTTAATTTGACCCTACATTCTAGTTAGTGCACATGAACGTCTCAAGTAATTTACCTGAAGACAACGTAGGCTAAAAATAATTTCGTTAAATTAAAAACAATAACAATCAACATCCTTCAAAACAAATCGTGGATACCCATTTTCAACAAGAAGAAAGCAAGAACACACTTGAGTGTATAATCAATAAAAAATCTTGAGGGAAGAGAACTAGTAGTCTCTGTAACATCTCATTATTAAACAATCAACAACATTTCATTGCTTTAGCCGTTGGTGCATGTCTTCACGTGATATGCGAGAAAAAGTTTGAGTTTAATTAGCATATTTAATTAGGTAAATCTAAAACTTTACATTTATTATATTTTAATAAACCACACATGAAATTCCCAAATTTCGATCTCAAACATGCATACTATAGGTCTAAACTCTAAGACATTAAATTCATTGATTTCCCTAAAATTTTCTCCAAGGAGAAGGGCTATTTGTCCCCACCCTAGGGATCCCTGTTCTTTATTTTACAATAATGGGGTTGGAGAAATCTTGTAGAATCACCCCATAGCGTTAGGCAAGCCCAACAAAACAGGACCCACTATCTACTTTTACATGGTTTTGATTAGGTGACTTTTAGCTACTAAAAAGTTGTATCCAAACTTCAAATTCTCAATACACCATGCTTTTGAATCCTCAACTTGGGGCGAAAAAGGGAGAGGATCTTTGAGTGTTTTAATCAAACTAACGGGAGAAAAGCCCTCTAACTTTACTTTGCTGACAAAACATCATACAAGACAAAAGAATTATGTCAAACAGAAGGAGGGAAAGACTTTCCAATGTTATTTATTCTATGCATTAACAGTGATGTTTGTTTGTAGGGTAGAATTGATTATGGTGAGAGGAGATAAGAGTGTATGAACAGGGAAGTAAAGAAGGACCAGTACAACCACAACTGCCAGGTTCAGGGGTTCCTTGGAGTAGCATTAAAGACACTGTTCCAGATCTTCCCTAACACATCACCAGCACCATCCAAATGACAATTCTTCAAAAACCAATGCAACAAAAGGGAAAGGAAACTACTTTTATAAGATGAAAGTCGCATTGATGTCTTGATGACTTTTAGTTGGAAGCAAATAAACAAATGGCTTGTGGCTCTGAGCATTTCACCATGATCTTCGTCATCATAACCCTCTTGGTGCTCCTATCATCACAAAGAACCCACATTTTGACTCTATTCAATGCAGTGGGAAGCTTCCAAGCTCACGTCATTCAAGAGAACAATGAAAAGCAGATTGAGAAAATCTCAGGACTTGATGAGAATGAAGAGAAGCAAGCCTTGATAGTGGAAAAGTTTAGATCCTTGATTGGTCTCAAGAGTTTCCACACCAAAGTACCATCCAATGGTGATTTGGAGTTACTCTCTCCCTCACCTTCTCCATCACCCTTCATTGAAGAATCTCAAGCTCCATCTCCTTCTCCTTCTCCTGTTCCACACGTGCACCCTCATTATCATCCACGGCATCATAAGAGTCCACCACTTCACAAAACTCACCATGAAGATAGAGGCAGGGCCAAAAGAATACTAATAGCGATTCTTGTGTCAGCGGGGGTTGCTACATTGATTGGTGCTTGTGGATTATTCTTGGTGTGGAGGAGACTCACAAATCAAGCAAAGAAACCCAAAAGGACAATGCCTCTATGTAGCAGCAAGAGCAAGGAAAAAGGAGGTGCTTATCAAAGTTCATCAAGCAAGGTGAGTTTAAACTCAGGACTAGATCTGTTTTATCTTAATGCTTTAGGTGAGGACATAGAGCAACATGCTTGCAACTTGAACAAGACTTGCAAGGAAGGCTTAGAATATGACAATGTTAGTGGTTCTTCCACTAAGGAAATTGCATCTGTTCATGAAGATGTGGAATCAGTGACAGGTGAAGATGAATCTGATGGAGGCAACTCTTCTTCTGGAGATAGAATTGTCCCTGAAGATTGCCATTCATCAGATAATGAAAGTTTTCATTCCTTTGTTGATTCACACTCAAATAATAGACTCTCCAATGCTTCAGCTGGTAGTATTACTATCAGTGACACGCAATCTCTTACTCATTCACCAAATAGTCCAAAACATGAAGAGATTGAGAACTCTGTCCAATGTCCAAAATCGTTGACTTCCCCTCTTCCACCTCCTCCTCCTCCATCACCTCCTCCTCCCCCACCTCCACCATTGCAAATGCCATTATTTTCTTTGCATTCTCTCACTTCCTTGTCTAGAGTCTCCTCTCATTCCCCACTTTCTTTGACATCTAATAACTTATCATCTCCCATAAATTCAGATACTTTCTCAGGTTCAAATCAAAGTCCAGATAAAGAGTTGCCTTCTCCACATGGACCTTACGCTACACAATCTCCCCCCAATATTCCCCCACCACCATGCCCTCCTCCATTTCTTAAAGGCAATAGTCACAGTTCCAAAACCCCACCTCCTCCACCATCTCAATTCCCTCAATTCACCCCACTTGGTAAAGATGGTGCACCCTTGCCAAAACTCAAACCACTTCACTGGGACAAAGTAAGAGCCGCACCAAATCGCACAATGGTTTGGGATAAGCTACGATCAAGCTCATTCGAGTAAGTCCAACTTCATTAGTAATAGCAATATTTTCATTGGGTATACCACTGTGTAAAAAGTTTTCCACGGTCAGCTATTCAAAAATAAATTATGATTTGGATGATTTTTAAGATAATTATCGTAAAAATTAATGAAATTTATGTATATTGCATGGGATTGGATGATCATTTTAAAAAGTTTTACACATGAGTGCATCACCGTTAAACCCTTTTTCATTTTTTCAAGTTTAAGCAATTCAGCACGTTATGAATTTTATTCAGGTTGGATGAGGAAATGATCGAGTCTCTTTTTGGTTACAATTTGCAAAATTCAATTAAGAACGACGAAACAAAGAGTAAAACCCCATCTCCAAGCAAACATGTACTTGAGCCAAAACGCCTGCAGAACATAACCATACTCTCGAAAGCTCTGAATGCGACAGCTGAGCATGTCTGTGATGAGGCCTTAATGCAAGGTAAATAAAAAACTCCTCAGTTATATGAAAATATGCCTCAAAAAAGGGTCCCCCACGAGATAAAACTATTGTTTAAAAATGTTATATGAAGCGCATCTTGTCATAATTATGGTGGAAATAGTATTATAAATTGATAACTGTCCCATACTCGCGAAATAAAATATCTCTTACTCGAGTTATATATTGTAATAATCACTTGTTATGGCCACCAAGTAAAATCGCACACCGACTTTTATTTATATAGCATCAGCTTATTCATGTGCATTTATACCATATGCTGAAGAAAATTGATGGAGAAATTAATATCGTTGTCGAATATCTTATTAAATCGTTTTGAAAACCAGGGAAGGGGTTGTCTTTGCCACAACTAGAGGCACTAGTGAAAATGGTACCTACCAAGGAGGAAGAGTCCAAACTCATAAATTATAAAGGTGACATCAATGAATTGGGGTCCGCCGAAAGGTTCGTGAGGTCAATGCTTGAGGTGCCATTTGCTTTTCAAAGGGTAGAAGGCATGCTTTTCAGAGAGACATTTGATGATGAAGTAGTCCACCTCAGAAACTCATTCTCAATGCTCGAGGTAACCATCAAGGACAAAACTTAGACACTGTGTATTTATTTGTGTGCTGTTATTTGATCAAAATTAAAAGATAGAATTTATTTGGATATAAGCTATAAATATTTTTGAAAGTTTTTTTACTAGAATTTTTTTTTAATTTTTAGTAAAAAAAATTCAAAATTTCTATTAAGTTTGTATTTAAATAGACACATAGTAAAACTAGCCAAGGTTTTTCAACCCCATTGAAAGCAAAAGAAAGCTTTATGATTCTCATTCTGACATTGTCCTTTGTCCATTACTGTAGGAAGCATGCAAGGAGCTACGATCAAGCAGGCTCTTCCTGAAGTTGCTAGAAGCAGTGCTGAAAACGGGGAACCGCATGAACGTTGGAACAATCAGAGGAGGTGCTAGAGCATTCAAACTCGACGCCCTTCTCAAGCTTTCAGACGTTAAAGGAACCGATGGCAAAACCACGTTGCTCCATTTCGTCGTTCAGGAGATTGTTCGTGCAGAAGGAATAAAAGTTTCAGACAGCATCATGGGGAAAATCAGCCAGAGAAGCAAGAACCGAACGGAGGAAGAGAAGGAAGAAGACTACAAGAGAATGGGACTAGAACTCGTGTCTGGCCTCAGCACCGAGTTATACAACGTGAAGAAAACAGCCACAATTGACTTGGACGTACTTGCAAGCTCTGTCTCGAACCTTTCAGAAGGAATGGCGAAGCTGCAGCGTGTGGTGGAGGAGTTGCATGGGGATGAGAGGAGCGTGAACTTTGTGCGCTCCATGAAGTGGTTCCTGAACTATGGTGATGGGAACCTCAAGGAGCTGCGAGGAGATGAAGATAGAGTGTTGGCACGTGTGAAAGAGATTACGGAGTATTTTCATGGGGATGTTGTGAGCAAAGAAGATGTGAACCCGCTTAGGATATTTGTGATTGTGAGAGATTTTCTGGGGATGTTGGATAATGTCTGTAAAGAACTTAGGAGGTCTAAAGCTTCACGTAGCCCCAATCCTCTTGTTATGCTCCCTTTAGATAGATCCTAGATTTTAGGATTAAACACTGTCTCGTGTGTTCTGTTCATACGATGGAAATTATAAACAAATGAGTGTAACTTTGTTTTGCTTTGCTTTGCTTTGCTTTTTTTTTTTTTTTTTTTTTTGGATATTTGGATTTTGTACTATCTGACTTTTCTAATCATATGGAACTTCGATGTATTTATTCTCTACACTTTTTTTTTATTAAAAAAGTGTTATCCAAATGGTATAATTTAAATATTTATTTATTTATTATAATATTTAATTACAATATAATTTATATGTTAAAATATTATATTTATTATAAAATTTACTTATTTATAGTCATTTAGATACAAGTCTATAAATATTTTTTTAGAGATTTTTTTATGAAAAATATTTTTTTATTTTCAATAAAAACTCTTTAAAACATTAATTAAGTGTCCAAATAATTTATAATGAAATCACTAAGGTGAACCTGATAAAAGATTAGAGTAATATGATATAATTTTAAATTTTAATGGTTTATTGTGTTTCGTCATATTTATAGGTATAAAACAAAATCTATGATGCATGTGAATTTATACAAGAGTTGGTCATACATCAATTAATTGAATGAATGTGTGACCAAATTGTTCGAAGTAAGCAAGAGTGTTAAGGATTGTAGTTCGATGCAAGTATGAGATGCACTAATAAATATGAGTTGGATTAATGGGTCTTTAGTTGGACCTAGTATATTAATCCAAAATAGACCTTGATTAGTGATTTATGTTACATGACAACTTTGTGCTTGTGTGATTCTTTAATCATATCAATTTGAAAAAATCTCAATTATTTTGATTGTGGTAACAAAAATAATTGATTATCTTTTTTTTTTTTATCTCATACTTTTATGTCAAATGTTCTTTTTTATCGATGAATAATCAATAATATCCTTACTCTATTATGATTTTAAATAATAGGTGTCTTTGTGAAACTTGTGTAATATATGAGAATAAGTCATGTATTTAAGTGAGTTATGTAACGACTCGTCCTTACGCTTACTGGAATCGCACTAATAAACTAGTGAACTAAAATAAAATATTAAGCTGGATAACAAAATATACATGTAAATGAAATTATAAATATTTATGTACAAAATATAGAACTATGCATATATAGTCATCCAAAATAATATTATCCTAGTACCGGTCAAGCACAAACAAACAGTTACCTAAGATGGTAACCGTAATAGTGGAACAAAACTTTCCATCTCGCGCTAGACACCATAGCCAGCTCCAACCTAACCCTGACTTGCTCTCATACACAATATGATCATCGCAGTCCATCCACATGGAAACAGAAGGGTAAGCTAGAGTTCAAAAAGCAACCATACAAGTATAAAATAAAAATCTATACTACACATTCATCCAATCAAGTCCCAACGGGACTCCCATCTCAAACAATCATCAATTCATCAAATATGAAGTTAACACCACACACTTCATCATACTGGAAATCATGCAATAATAGCAACTCATGATAGATATCAATGCATATCAATTATCTAATGCGTCGTCACGCATACACCTAGGAGATTTCCCTAACAGTAGAGCAGTATAAGTGACATCTCAACCCTACCGAAATCACCCCAACCATTTTCATGCCCAATGCGTCCGCTCGGTCACAGCTAATCAGGATATAAATCCTCACTTGGGTTTACTCGGATGATGTCACTTACACACTTGGAAGTTTGGTTCCATCGTCAGGTATAACACAGTTGAGTACAGACTTACCACGACCTTGGCATGCATTACCAAGTCACTTGTGGAGTTCGCCCACCGACTATCCGCAAGGAACCACGCAACTTCCTCAGTACTTGGTTAAGAGAATAATCGTCGACCTCATACCCTGCTACAACACTAGCTAAGGACTTAGAGGAGACTCACCCACACCAGTGACCTATCCAAGCACCACTCTCATTTATATCAGTGGCCTATCTAAGCACCACTCTCAAGAAACTCTATGTGAGCTCTTCTAGTTCGAAAACATTTCCCTCTCGTCAAGTCCTAGGCTAGACACATGCCATAAGGCATCACATGCAATAATGCATCATACATCATACATGGTCAATCCACCATCATGATCAATATCATCGTCATATGAACATATACACATGTCATATCATATTCAAACATTCATATATATCATTACCAAGCATACATATGAATCATACATCACTGTACATCATATATCATACATACTTGATCCAACTTCACTCTTAAACGTGCAAAAACATCATTTTCAATCAGCATCACTAAGCATCAATCAGTTCGCGCTCAACCTAAATCCAACCGAGAGCCCTAAGCTCTTCCACGCCCGACGCATTCAGCTCGTGCCCAGCGTCATTCAAACAGAGACTCACAGGAATCTCCATGCCCGATGCATTAACCCTATGCCCAACACCGTCTAGATAGAGATCTCTAGAGATTTCCGCACCCGGCGCACTTACCCTGCGCCCAGCGCCATATCAGAAAGTGCCATGAAACATCACCATCTAATATCACGCCCGACATGACTCTCCTCACGCCCGACGTGATTCACCTCATGCCTGGTGTGATTAGAAAATGGTTGCTTCTGATGAATGCACGTCCAACGCCAAGAACACATGCTTGGCGCAAATTCAAATAGCCACCCCCAAAACTTTGGAAATTTCCTCCAACACCTGAAAATTAGAGGATCCAGCCACATACAATCCATACAACGTAATACATAGATTCCATACAATCTGAACTCACTCTCAGATTCAACATGTACCCACCCGATGCATCAAAATCATTAAAACTCCAATTTTCCTAAAAACCCAAAAAATGAGGAATCTTTTAATCCAACCATTTATTCTCAAAATTCATGCACCAATTGAGTTCCTAAACGCACATGCAACCAATCAATCTACATTCTAGCTTCCTTTACTTGAAGATTGGCTCAGAATAGCCAAGAATTGAGAAGAAGAAGAATTTTCTTTCGAAGCTTGACTCTCGGACTTCAATCCTCAAATTGTTTGATATTTATTGAAAATTACAAGTCTTAGTTGGGATGCAGAAGTCATCAAGATTTGTAATTTTCAATAAAATTCAGATAATAGAGAGTGCTAGACACAAAAAACTTTGACACATAATAAATCTTAGTGAGATGCGGGAGATATCAAGATATGTGATTTTCAACAAATTGCAAACAAAAAAAGTGTTAGACTCAAAATCACTTAAGATTGTTTGAAATTTATTGAAAATAATAAATTTTAGTGAGATGCGGTAATCACCGAGATTTGTAATTTTTAATAAATCTAAGCTATTAATAGTGTTAGACAAAATGTTTAATATTATTTGAATTTTATTGTAAATAATAAGTTTGAGTGAGATGCAGGAGTCACCAGAATTTTTTATTTTCACGTGCTATTCCTTTTTTCTTCTTGTTTGCAATAGGGAATGACATGTAGATAGTATAGATGTGATGATATTTCGGTTCAAGTAGTCAGTTGGTTGCTTAAACTTATTCGATTAGATATAGATTTAAAATTTGAACTTGAATTAAATTGACATGTTTAACCCAATACTAACTAGAATAAGTTTTTATTTAAAAAAAAACTTATAGAAAAGATCATGCCTTTGTTTCAATTTTGAAAATTATTATAAGCTGACAATATATATTGAGTTTATTATATTCTTTTAATATGTATAATAAACTGACCCAAAATAAATTGTTTTTCTCTATATATATTAACAGTCAATTTATTGAATTTAATTTTCTAATAAGATAAATATTTTTCTATTTTTCTATATGTTTGTCTAAATTGATTATTTAAAAAAAAACAAGCAATTTTTTTATCTTTTAAGAAATAAATAATTTTATAATCATTTAAAAAAAAAAGAGTTTATGAATCACTAGAATCTATTTAATGGTGAGCGATTGTAAATTGTAATTACATGCATAAGATATGGAGTTTGATCTTTAAAATTGTTATTGTATTTTTTATTGGTAAAAGAAATTTGAAAGCTTGTGAAAAGTAAGTGCATGAGTTAATTTAGCTTTAAAAAAACTCAATTTATTTTATACAATTATATTTGACACATCTGCTTTTATCTTTCACTTTAGAAGAAAAAATATTAAAATATTAATTATTCATTATTCATTTAACAATTATAACTTTATATTAATTTAATTTTTAAAATCAAATTCTTTATTATTTTATTTAAAATAAGATCACTAAAGGGGTGTATGAAAAGAAATGGAAAGAAAAAATAGTAGAATAAAATACTTTTTAGATTATTTTTTCTGTAAAAAATAATTATATATTAAAGATTTTGAAAACTATTTATATATAAATTAGAATAATTATGTTAAACGAGTTTAGGAAGTTTGTTTTTAATGAAAGTCTTTTTCAACAGTTTCTGTGAGACCCATATCCGTTCCCTTTTCTCTTCCTCACTATCACTCTCATACTCTTTTCTCCTTCCCTCATTCACTCTCAAATTTTTCTTTGTCTTCTCTCTGCCTTTGGTCTTTCTCTGGAACCATTAGGTGGTGGAGCTAAGGAGTTGTGTTGAAAGCTAGCAGAGGCGCGAGTTTTGATTTTCTCCGTCCGTCCTTCATCTTCTTCTCCATTCTCCGCGATCCCGAAGCTTGGATTCTTCACCGAGGTAAGGGAAGTTAGTTTTCTTGTTGTGGTTTGGCTTAAATGAGTCTAAGAACTCGTGTGGTTGATTTTGATTTCGAATTCTTGGCTGTTTGGGTGACACATTGAGTTTTTTTTTGGGGACTTTGGGGTTCAAGAGAAATTTGGGTTTTTCTTGATTGTTACATGCATGGGTGAAAAGATAGTATTTTTGGACTCTAGGATGAGAATGTGGTATTTTGGATGGTTTGCATGTTGGATTGCTGGTTGTTTTCGCAGGTTTTGATGAGATTTTCGAAGTAAGTGAGGGTTCTCGTTTGAATTTGCGCCGGGCTCAGTTCTTCGCGCTGGGCGCTACTTGAAATGGGAAGTTTCTGGGTTAACTGCGCCGGGCTCGGGGAGAACCACGCCGGGCACAATAGATCTCTATAGGTCTCTGGTTGAGGATTGAGCCGGGTCCTGCGACTGTCGAAGAAGCGATACGAAACAGATATCAAGTTTCATGCAGATATGAATTTTAACATGATTCGATGCTGGGGTGGTGGACTCGCTGAAAGGCCAGAGTTTTATCATTATTGTGATTATTATGGTATTCTGGTAAGATGTTTTAGACCCTCATTATTTTTTAGTATGCACAGAAATAGGAAAAGAAAATGAAACAAAATATAGAGTATTTTGGGCCTTGTTGACTGAGTTTTGAAGAGTTTCTGAACTATGAAGAAGAAATGTAAAGCAAACTTCAACTGATGCAAGTGTTATTAAATTTGATTGCAGAGATAGGAATACTGGAATATGGGATGAGGTTTCCATTTCTATTACTGGGGTGAGTTGTATTAAATTAAATGGTTTAGATCCTTTTACAGCCTCTGGTATTTCTATTTCTGGGGACTGGGGAATCACTGATATGTATGGGAAACAAAACTAGAATAATACAGAGACATGAGCTAAACATCAGAACAGCTTTGTTAATTTTGCTTCTTATGCATTCTATACAATTTTTAGAGTTTATGGTACTTCCAGCAGTTCTTTGGTAGGATGATTCCAGTATGTGTTTGGTGCAGCCAGTAAAAATAATTGATCCCCACTTGGTGTCATCATTTTTTGACAATTATAAGAGAGTATATATACATACCACAACTGAGTTGGAAAACAGGAGCTCCTGGACTGCTGAGTGCTCTTTGAGTATCCATGCCACAACAGAACTTGAGGGGAGCATTCACTTAGTAGAGCAACTTCAAACTCAAAATCTTTCAATTCCTGCAAGATCACGGGTGCAATATACATTTCCTGAGGTCAGTCATAATGCTAAGTTTATCCACTGTCCTTATGTGTCTGTAGATGTTATGTGAAGAACTAATCATTAATTCAAAATATCTTTTTAGAAAATTTTTGTACTTTTGAGTAATTTTTTCTTATTTCATACCTTATTGTATTTGTATATTTATTATCCGTTGGTGTTGGTATTGGGATTGGATCTTGGGCTGCTTTTGGACAAAGTTGTTTGTCTGGCTTATGTCACATTTCTTTTTTTCTAAGTTGAGAAAATTTGTGGACCTGGATTGATAATGTTATGTAGCCTCATTTTACTATTGATCCCGTTAATTTGCATAATTTGAGTTTAAGTTTTATCTCTTCTTTCAAGTGCTAATGATCATCAGTTCTGCACTGGCAGCTCTTCTTCTACAAGCCCAATTTATGGTGGCCAAATGGAATGGGGAAGCAATCTTTGTACAATGTTATTATTAACATTGATGTTAAAGGATATGGTGAGTCTGATTCATGGAGCCATTACTTTGGATTGCGCAAAATTGAAAGCCATATCGATGATGCTACTGGTGGAAGGTAGTACGGTTTCTAATGTTCCTCCAATGTTATAATATTTTACTTTTTCTTTAGTAGGACTAATTCAAGATTTAAACTGCTTTTTCATATGTTTTGCTGTATGGATTCATAGATTGTTCAAAGTCAATGGACAACCAATTTTTATACGAGGGGGTAACTGGATATTGTCTGATGGGCTCCTGCGACTTTCGAAGAAGCGATACGAAACAGATATCAAGTTTCATGCAGATATGAATTTTAACATGATTCGATGCTGGGGTGGTGGACTCGCTGAAAGGCCAGAGTTTTATCATTATTGTGATTATTATGGTATTCTGGTAAGATGGTTTCATTTAATCACTTATTTTATTTATTTATTTATCATTGTTATTTGTTAAATTTAATTTTATTATATATTTTAAAAAATTTATGATTAAAAGAGTTTTATATAACAATATAAGTTATTTATTAATTATAAATTTGAATTACATAAAATAAATATTTATCCTTATATTACACAAGTTAAAATATTAATAATTATAAATTAACGAATTTATTAAATATTGATGTAAGCATCTTTGCCTTAGGGTTTCACAGTTTTTTCTTTCTATTTTTTTTTTCTCAGTTATGCTTTTTCGGTTGTTGCAATTTCTAGTTGTTTGTTTCGGTTTTTTCATGCATTTTCCAATTCTTTTATTACTTTAAAATGTTTTTATAAAAAAAAATAAAATGAGAATTTAGCCTGTAAAATAAATTAACCATGAAGTAGAATAATTTATAAAATAAATTAAGATAATATTGTAATAATTGTATTTATTTATTTTTTTAATAAAATATTAGCTCATAAATTTACCTTAGCGGATAAAGTTTTGTTGGACCTTTTGAACTTATGACATAAATGGACTTTTTATTTGGTGGTGGTCTCTGTTATTTAATAAATAACAGATTCACACGTCTCAAGCAAATTATTGTCTCTCTATATTATACTTCCGGTGTTCGTATCGTCTGAGTTCATTTTTGTAGCGCTCTTTCGTTTGCCTCTTTTCTCTTCGAAGTTGAAATGGTCGCCGAAAAGAAACAACAGCGGAACAACACAAAAGCCGAAGAAGATGCATAAGTAAAGTAGAACCTTTCATACATTGATTGATTTTGCTTCTCTGATTCTCATTTTCCTCTGTTATTTGAACTTCTTTGTTTCGCCACACACAATACCTCTTCCATTTCTTGCTTTTCCTTTCTTTACCTTTGTGATTGCTTTTCCTTCTCTGATTTTGAATTGAACTTTATTCTTGTTTTTATTTTTTCTGATTCTTGTTTTTTTTTGTTTTTGTTTTTTTTGTTTTTGTTTTTTTTTTCTCTTTGGAGTGCAATGAGACTCGATTCTTCGCTGTCCTTAAGTATTGTTTTCAATTTGGTTTGGATATCTTAAGTTCAATTTGACATTATGTTTAAGGTAATGGCACTTATGTAAAGTTTAATATGGAAAAATTCTTGTTCATGTAGAAAATTAGGTTCTGTTTTAGTTGTTAATAAATGGTGTAAGTATCCTTTTGGTCCCTATATTGTCATAACCTTTACCTATTAGTTCCTACAATTAAAAACATTTCATTTTAGTGTTTTTGTTTCTTTTTAGTTCTTATAGTTTTGTAAATTTACTTTTTAGTCTATACTCTATATAACAATAGACAATAGGGTCTAAAAGGTGTGTCCTTGAGGCATTAATTTTATTTTATTTTGTGACCTTAAAGGGAGAATCCAATTCCTTTTAAACCTCAAATTTCAGTAATCATCATTTGCTTGGACATTTAATAATCATATTTGCGTAATAACTGTCTTGAATCTCATAAAATAGCAAAAAACCAAGAAACTTCGACATCTGAAATTTCTAAGCCATTTTTTTTTGTCCTGTTGTCTACGTAATTGTCATTGAATAGTTTAATTGATCAGAACTTAATTTTATTGTTGTCTATACTATATTGTAGTATCCCGAGCACTACTAAATTTTGTTTTAGTAATTTGTCTATTTATCTCTCCAAAGAAGAAATTCATTATGATTTTTATTGAGTTTGGAGGATGATAGTCATCCTTAGTGTATGTGAAAAAAAAACGACAAAAAATTGTGTCATAGCTTCTCATTTCCTCAACGTATTTTCTTGGAAATCTCCTTTATAACGGCTGTGCTTTGCACTACATGTTACATGAAGTAGAAGTCAAATGCCTAGTCTTAGCTAATCTGTCCCTGAAATAGAATTACTTGGTTCCCTACTGACTCTAGACTTCTCCTAATGTGCTATGATTGAATTAGTTTTTGTAAGAAATCAGCATATATTCAATGTAATGGAAAGTTAATTTAGTCTTGATTTTTTATTTTTTCTTGCATTGATTACGTTTCTTTTATATTAGTTGTTTGGCTCTTGGAACAACGCATATGGCTGGTTAAATGTCATTGTTGGCAGCACTGCTGTTATTTGGAGTGACAAAACTGGGACTCTAACTACCAATATGTTGTCAATGCCAAAGGTGTGCTCTGCTTGACATTGAAACATCAAAATTTAGATTTTTTTTTTTTTTTAATTTCTGTATTGCAATTCATTTATTCTGGAAAAGAACTTTTCAATTTCTGTAGTAGAAATGATTTAATTGTAGCTTCAATAAAAGTTGATGAAATTCAACAGATAATAGAATGTTAAAAAATACAATCGTAAAGTTTATTTCTGAAGAAGTTAAACTTACTTATTGTTAATAAAATACATAGAACAATTATGCATAGCATTTCTAAATATTCTTATGCATAGACTTGAATATGAATAATTTCTTCTTATTGAATCTGAATGAGTACAATAAAATAAATAGGCATAAAATATAATTAATCCCTAAAGTTTAGGGATTTAGATAAAACTGACTAAGGAAACTAAACTAGAATTTAGGAGAAGATAAACTAGTATATCTAAACAGAATTATCTTAACACTCCCCCTCAAGCTGGAGCATATATATCATATGCATCTAGCTTGTTACATATATATGTTATCCTAGGACCTCGTAAAGATTTAGTAAAGATATCTGCAAGTTGATCCTTGGAGCAAACTGAGGAGGTCTTGATGATACCGGAGAGAATCTTTTCTCTGATGAAATGGCAGTCAACCTCTATATGCTTTGTTCTCTCATGAAAAACTGGATTAGAGGAGAGGTATAAAGCTGACTGGTTATCACAAGCTAATTCCATATGACCAACCTTGCAAAACTGCAACTCTTGAATTAAGAATTTTAGCCTCAAGAGCTCACATGTGGTATGAGCCATAGCACGATATTTTGCTTCTGTACTTGATCGTGCAACAATACTTTGCTTTTTACTCTTCTATGAGACAAGATTACCACCCATGAAGACACAATAGCCTGATGTTGACCGCCTATCACTTGCATCACCTGCCCAATCTGCATCTGAATATTCAACAATGTTTGTATGTCCTCTATCATTGTAAACAAGTCCTTTTCCCGGTGATCTTTTGATGTATCTAAGGATTCGAACAACTGCAAGCCAATGACTCTCACAGGGAGAGTTAAGAAACTGACTTACAACACTGACAGGAAAGGATATATCAGGTCTGGTCATGGTGAGATAATTCAATTTTCCCACTAATCTCCGATATCTCCCTGGGTCAGGATAAGGCTCCCCCTGATTAGGCATAAGCTTCACATTAGGATCCATGGGAGTGTCAACTGGCTTACAATCTGTAAGTCCGGTCTCTTCTAGAATATCAAGGGCATATTTTCTCTGAGAAATAGCAATACCGGACTTTGACTGAGCGACCTCAATCCCGAGGAAATAACGTAGGGGACCTAAATCCTTAGTTTGAAAGTGTTTAAATAAGTGTTGCTTCAGAGCCTTGATGCCCTCCTGATCATCACCTGTAATCACAATATCATCTACATAAACAACAAGATAGATAAATCTATGTGTCGATGAGCGTCTAAAGAAGACAGAGTGGTCTGTCTCGCAGCGGATCATTCCAAATTCCTGTATAACTTTGCTAAACCGACCAAACCAAGCACGAGGTGATTGTTTGAGGCCATACAAGGACTTTTGTAATTTACATACAAGACCAGACCCCCCTTGAGCAACAAACCCAGGAGGTTGATCCATATAAATCTCCTCCTCTAAATCTCCATGTAAGAAGGCATTTTTGATGTCTAATTGAAACAAAGGGCAATGCCTCATAGCATCCATAGCTAAGAAGAGATGAACTGAGGCCATCTTCGCAACTGGAGAGAAGGTGTAGTCCAAACCATATACTTGCGTGTATCCCTTAGCCACAAGACGAGCTTTCAATCTATCCACCTGTCTATCAGGGCCCACTTTAACATTAAATACCCACGTGTCGCTGTAATCCAAACCATATACTTGCGTGTATCCTTTAGCCACAAGACGAGCTTTCAATCTATCCACTTGTCCATCAGGGCCCACTTTAACATTAAATACCCACCGACAACCAACAACAGATTTTCCAGGTGGAGGTGGGACAAGTACCCAAGTGTGGTTGGAGTCTAAAGCTGTCATCTCATCAATCATTGCTTGTCGCCATCCTGGATGGGTTAAGGCCTCCTGTACTGTCTTGGGAATGGTAATAGAGGAAATAGCAGAGACAAAAGCATAATAGGTAGGAGACAAACGATGATATGAAAGAAAGTTATAAATAGGATGAGGATTACAAGTAGAACGACTACCTTTACGAAGAGCAATGGGCAAGTCAACTGAGGTAGGTGGGGCCGAAGTAGGTGAGGAGACTGAAGCAGGAGTAGAATCACATGGCTTAATTGAAGAATCATTGGAAGGAACAACAGTATGTGATCGACGCTCATAGGTTATCCCAAATCGGTGTAGAGGATGGTTAAACCCTGGTAGTGCGGGAGGATCTAGTGCCTCTAAAGTAGCAGGTGTGGTAGGAGGCACACTATGATCAAAATGAGGAATAGGCAATACCTGAGAGAGGAGATCTGAGTCAACCGGAGAGACATCTGTGGCAATAAAATATGGTGTATCTTCAAAGAAAGTGACATCTGCACTGGTGTAAAATCGATGCGTAGCAGGAGAGTAACAACGGTACCCCTTTTGGACACGGGAGTATCCTAAGAACACACATTTGATGGCCCGAGCAGACAACTTAGCACGTCCTGAGAAAAGATCATGGACAAAACAAGTACAACCAAAGACACGAGGATGAACAGAGTAAAGGGGTTCCAATGGGTATAATAGGGAATGAGGTACTTGATCATTCAAGACAGACGATGGCATTCGATTTATTAAATACCCTGCAGTGAGGACAGCATCGCCCCACAACTTTGGGGGTGCATTGGCATTCAATAAAAGAGTACGAGCAGTGTCCACAATATGTCTATGTTTTCGCTCAGCTACACCATTTTGTTGAGGTGTATGAGGGCAACTAGATTGATGTAGAATGCCATGGGAAGCCATAAATGATTTGAAGCAATCTGAAAAATATTCTTTAGCATTATCACTTCGTAAAATCCGAATTACTTTGCCAAATTGAGTTTTGATCTCCGAATAGAAACTTAGGAAAATATTGAATAACTCAGAACGATTTTTCATTAAAAATATCCAAGTACATCTAGAAAAATCATCAATAAAGGTGACGTAATACCTATGTCCTAAAAGAGAAGGAACGCGACTAGGACCCCAAACATCAGAATGAATAACATCAAAAGGAGACATAGCTCGACTATTAATACTATTAGGAAAAGAAGCTCTAACATGCTTCCCTAATTGACACGACTCACACTCTAAGGACACCAACCGTGAGAGATGAGGTACCATTTTCTTTAATTTATTCAAGCTTGGATGACCCAGGCGACGATGAATTAAACCAGGAGACTCAATAGATGCACATATGGTAGAGGTAGAAGGCTGAAGGTAGTAGAGACCATGTGATTCAGATCCGGCTCCAATCGTCTGTCCCGTACTCCGGTCCTGTATCAAGAAAGAATCAGAAGTGAAGGTTATGACACAGTTTAGTGACCGAGTCAACTTACTTATAGAAATCAAATTAAAGGGACATCCAGGAACTAGTAAAACAGATTTTAATGGTAGTGATGGGAGAGGTGATATTTGGCCAATACCAGTGGCTTGAACTTTTGACCCATCTGCAAGAGTGATATGATGTGGAGTTTTAGGTGATAATAGGTTAGGGAAAAGGGAGACATTACTAGTTAGGTGATCAGAAGTACCGGAGTCCAAAACCCAAGGTCCAATAGAAGTAGAATGAGAGAGACAAACCGTAGAATTACCAGTATGAGCAACAGTAATGGAAGAGGAGGCCTGTTTAGTTGCCTTCAATTGAAGATACTCTTGGTAATCATCGGTAGATAATGTGATTGGATGATTGCCCTCCGGTTCAATCTTGAGCTCTGGAGCTGAAGTTGGAGATTGAACCACATTAGCTGTCTTGCTCGGAAAGCCATGCAAGGAATAACACCTGTCTCGTGTATGTCCATCTCTCTGACAGTAGGTACAATGGAGGTTTCCTCTACCCCCTTTACCACGACCACGACCTCGACCACGCCCTCGACTTCCACGGTCAGCTGTACTAGAGATAAAAGCAGAGGACTCAGATTCTGTGTGAGGATCTGCCTCTGGTGAAGGGACCCGAATCAGTCGATCTATGAGTTCTTCTACTGTAGGAATGACAGGATTTGTCAAGATTTGATCTCGAACAGATCCGTAATCTTTGTGGAGTCCTTGAAGGATAAACACCATAAACATATTATCAAGTTTGTTTAATATTTGTTGAGGATCATCACTAACCAACATTAGCTTGAGCTCATCAATAGTGGATTGAGCACGATTCAAATACGTTGGCAAATCATTATCAACCATACGAAGAGTTGCCAGACCATGAACAGACTCGTATATTCTTTGGATATCATTGGCATAGACATTTCGAGCCTTCTTCCAAATATCATAGCATGTCTTGTACGGACGAAAATGCACCATTAATTTAGGCTCAATGGACTGCCACAATAGAGATACAAGTTGATAATCTGCCCGTTGCCATTCATCTCTCACCTCTTTATCAATTTCGGACGCCCTTTTAGTAAGATGATCATAGAGACCCTGACCTAAAAACCACATTTCAACCGCAGTGGACCAATCCAAATAATTTTTACCATTAAGCTTTTCAGATGTAATAGTAGGTGATCCAGAAAAGGCAAAGGAGACCAGCCCCCTTTTGGAAGATTCAATTTTTGGATTCTCCTTAGGAATCTCTGCCATGAAGAGAAAAAGAAGAAAAACAGCAAACAATCAGTCACGAAACTCCGAGGTAGCACCCAATCAACCACAGAACTCCGAGGTAGCAACCAAACCACCACGGAACCCCGAGACAGCAACCAAATAGCCACGGAACTCCAAGACAGCAACCAAACAACCACGGAACTTCGAGGCAGCAACCAAACGACCACGAAACTCCGAGGCCGCAACCAAACGACCACCAACAGACCACCTAGAGTGTGACCCACAACTTGAAAAGGGTCATAACTGGAAGAGGGAGGGCCGGCGAGTCCAACGGAGTGAACCGCGTCGCAAACGGAGGTTGGGAGGGCGGCACGTGAAGCCCACGTGCCGGCGAGCTTCCTCAACAATAACCGCGCGTGAGAGCGCGTGAGACGGCGGCTGACGGTGGCTCGCGACGGAGAGGCCGATCGGCGACCTCTGAGTGTGCAGGCGGTGTCAACTCCGGCAACCGCGGACAAAACTCGAAAACCCTAGAAACCCTAGATGTTGGCTGCTGGATTAGGGTTCCTGGACCAGAGTGCTCTGCTACCAACTTGAATATGAATAATTTCTTATTATTGAATCTGAATGAATACAATAAAATAAATAGGCATAAAATATAATCAATCCCTAAAGTTTAGGGATTTAGATAAAATTGACTAAGGAAACTAAACTAGAATTTAGGAGAAGATAAACTAGTATATCTAAACAGAATTATCTTAACACATAGGATTAGTCCAAAATTTTCTGCTTAGAAGTTAAATTAACAGAAACTACTATTGAATATTAAATATGATGGATCATAGCTACATTGGTAGTTCTGTCTTCTCCTTCTGCAATTTCAAAGTTACATGAATCACACCTTTCGAATTGTTTGTATTAGTGCATCCTTGTTTTGAATATTTAAATAGGCATCAAAAATCAGCATATATTCAATGTAGTGAAAAGTTAATCTAGACTTGATTTTTTCTTTTTCCTTTCTTGAGTTGGTCATTTTTCTTTTATAATAGGTGTTTGGCTCTTGGATCAAAGTGTATGCTTAAGTTAACCCTGCAGTATAATCCCGATAAAGGGAATTATGAAAAATTTGTAAGTCAAATGAAGTGGCACTACGTGACTTGGCAGATAAGATCTGTATTTATATTGGTTATTTATTTGGTGTTGGGCTGTGTATTTGCTTCACACTTTGAGCTTTATGCTTTGCAAATACATGTTTTGGAATTTTCTTGACAACGGAAAATGATGAGTGCCTTTTGCAGCTGGAACCAGATTCATGTTTTGTTCTCAAAGGGTGCCCTATAAATTATAATTTCTAGATATACAACCATTCTGTGCAATTGATGATGGTTCCATTGTGCCACTTACAGCTGATATTTGAGCAGAGCTGGACTCAAGGTTCCTAAGGTTTGCATTTTATTATTTATAATCTTATCTGCATATACATATTCCATAATTTACTTTTCAAACTTTCCCTTCCTTTTTGCTTCTTATTCAAATTAGGCGAAAAAAATTGAGAAAAGCTGAGAAAAGTTGTGCGGCTCATGTGCTTGCTCTGCAAGGGCATAGTTCCCATCTTTAATATCGCTAATAGTGCAAGGGTCATCAAGTATTTGTTGCATACCTAGTGCCATACCTTCTTGCTACTAGGCCTCTAAAAATAAGGAATAATAAAATTATACAATAAAAAAATTCATTGTTGACGGCCTAGATTCCAACCGTACAGCCCCTTGGGCATTTGCTGCCCTTGCCAACCATACAGCTGCCCTTTTCTTAAGTAGAATTTGTTTATCCTCTTTCTGAAAACAATAAATTAAAGCATCAATATGAGATTTAAGTAAATAATTTTAACCATTTACATACGGTTTATGAAAATTAACTCCTCACTAGATACACCCTTTATAAATAATTTTAAATATGACAGCTTTGAGATTGTCACTGTCAATAAAAATAGTATCATTCATTTTTTATTTTTATTTTTGTTGCAGTGGAGCAACATGATACCTTTGAGATTGTCGTGGCCAAGATAGCAAAACTTCTTGTATTGCGATTTGTCAAGGATTTTCTTAATTTCCTCTGGTTCATTGCCATCTTACCAACACTCTTTGATTGTGTCTGATTCAAGTTGCATTTGCGAATTTGTTTTTTATGACTACTATGCATGAATAACTTAGTTATTTTGATGGACTCCAACTACTTATTAGGTTTTTAAACTACTGAAATTAAACTTTGCTATTTTATAATGCTTACTCATTCTCTCACATGTTGCAGGAGAGAGAAGTGAGCATTTGCAATTTTTACATTTTTTTGTTTATTGTTATATGGAGGTGGAGGGTCTCAGGAGATTGGTGAATTTTTAAGATTTAGGGATTGTTTCACTTTTGCACTTGAAGATAATTTTAAGTAGTTATTGACTTACCTTTTGCACTTGAATTTGATTTCAGCTTTGGAATTTCGATGATGGACACATTTTTGAGGCATGTAAAGACAATCTCAAGAATCTTTAGTTAAGTTATCTAGATTCACTTTCTTATTGTCAAAAGGCATACTGGTATGTTTTCAATTTCTTGTTTGTTTTCTTTCTGATTGTTGTTACGTTTCTTCCTGATTCTTGTTTATCTTTGCTACTTGTTAGAGTTTTTCTCTTTGTTCCTCATTCTGGTGACCTTGTGCTGATGGAAGGTAGAAATGATGTTACGCGTTTCTCTGCTTTTCAATTTCTTGTTGATTCTTGCTTGTCTTTGTTACTCGCCAGGGTTTTTCTTTAAAACCTTTTTTCTAGGGATCTCTTCCTCATCTGCGTTGTATTTCTTCTGTTTTCTTCTGTTATTGGAAAAGAATTAATTGATTTTCATAATGCAGTATCACAGCATCAGTTCAAATAGAGTAACGGAAGTTAAGATAAAAAAGTGGTCATTTAAAGTTGAAATGACAAAATAGTCTAATCAAAATGTTTACATGAAAAATGCCTTTATTAATAGTACTAATAAAAAAGAACTTTATATATTTATAATTATCAAATTGTGCTAATAAATTTCATGGTAGAAATTGCCGGATTTGTTACCTCTAAAAATCAACAAATGATGCATATAATTGAGTAGTGATCCTACGAGAAGGTGATTTTAAATACAAAAATGCTAATATCATATTTCTAGACACTATCCAACACAATTCCTATTATTATGAGATCCATATAAATTTAACTCATTAATAGAAAGTGTTAAAAGAGTGTGTTGCTCTCATTGTACTAAAACATAATGATCTGAAACACATCACATGGAAAACTCTTTTTAAGACTTTTTGAATTTAAAGATTGGTCAGAATGATATTTCTGCATTCAGCATGAAAGTGGAAATGTGCCACACTGGCACTGCCATGCACTTTAATACATTCTCCCAAGTCCTAAACTCCAAGCAAATGTATAGTGTCATTGGTAATTCTGTGTGATTTGATATCAAGTTTTCTCCATACAATTGCAGATCCATGTTCAGGTAAAATACCCGGAGACAACAGAATTGGGGATGGAATTTGTGAAGTCTATGAGTGAGCAAGATTTCTATGTCTACCCTGAGGCAGATATGTTGCTTACAAGGAAAACTAAGAAACCATTTTCGTCATTCTCGGAATGTGGAAGGGGTTGGGCTGATCCTGAGATCCGCCGCCAGCGCTTGGAAAAAATGAATCTCAATAAAAAGCCAAAGATGCTACAAAATCCCAAAAACAAAAGGCAACGAAGGAGAAAAGGTAAGAAATGGCAATCTGATTTGAGGACTTCTCGTGGTAGACTAGTAGCAAAACTCACAAAATTTAAGTGATATTTTATCTAGCTTTTAAAACATACGATTTACAGTATTTTTAGTTTACAGTTTGTCTCATTACAAATAAGTTTTCAAACATACTTACTCATTGGCACCTGGAAGGGAATTCATTCGTGTGATCATCTCAATTTTTTCATAAGTTGTTAAGTCACGATCAAACATTAAGTGTTTTTCATTTTAAATCATTATTTTTTTCTCTTGTTTCGTGTATATCTTGAAGAATGTATAGCGGTTAATCCACTTAAAACAAAGGTAAATCACATGAATAGCAAAGATATGTTTTTATTCCATGCAGCAATTTTTTGTTTAGCTGTTCTCGTGTGGGTTTGAAACTAATCATAATATCCTCCTACGCTGCCTTCGACAATGAGTTGTGAATTCAGTTTTACAATTTTGGAATACTTTATTTTACAAAGTTGTAATTTACAATTATTGACATAATATTTTAACAAGGAAAATGTTTCTAATTTTTGTTACTTAATGGTGGGTTATTTTTGTTTTATTAATGATAAGCTTGAGATTGCATCTCATTTCGTTCTGACTTGAGTGTGAATTCCATGTTATTACTTGTATAAAATATTCACTGTTTTTTTTAATGATCAGATTTTGTCGAAAATATTTCATTGATTATTTTTAATTACTTTTTATTTTTTGAAACTTGAACCTAAGACATTTTTTAAGGAATTTAAGTCTGGTGTCATTTACCCGTAAAAAAAAGTCGTGTCACTTAGATTAGGAATGTCAGTAAAATTGATTTTTTAATGAAACCATAATAAATGATTAATTTATTGTAATAATAATTTCCATGTATGCCAAAATAGAATGGATAGCAAAATGTTGGTGTCATGCATTTTATTTAACTTCTATTGAGTACTGTATTTTAAAGTAAAAGCAAAATAAATATAATTATTAATTTAAAAAATCAAATGGATTGATTTTTAGTGATTTCACGATTCATTATTTATCAAAGGCTTCTTATGCAGAAGACTTTTGTGAATTGATTAAAATATATGGTAAAAAGCAAAATATTGATGGAAATGAAAAGGCTTGCATCTCAGATGATTCAGATTATGTTTTTGATAGTTCTGATGCTTGTAGTAGCTGATACACACGTTTCTCCTATTGAAGCGTTTCTCCTATTGAAGTGGATGACAAACAAGATGATTTTTTAATGGAAAGAGAATTGTCAGTTGAGTTCTTGGAACAGATATTTTAAAATAGAATAGCTTGTACTAAGTTACCTATCTTGATTATTGCATTAGCATATTTGCTTCATTTTGTATTTAAGGGATTATCTTGTGGCAACGTGGCTGTTTTTACTGGTAGTGAGTTAATATGTTTGTGTCATTTATTAATGCATGTTAGCTTTCATTTTGTAGCTTTCCTTACGAGCCCCTTTTCATGCAGCTGTCACTTGTGCATTAATGGTCCACCACAGAGACTGCATCTAAAAGAAGATGCAGTTGATCTAATGAGCAGGCAGAAACGAAAGCCTGAGACAGCAAGTTTGTTGCAAACAAGGTGCTTTTTTATGCTTATATAATGCCCTTTTTCTTTTTTTTAATTTGTATTTGTTATGCTCATTTTAATCTCTAACTAGGCTCATGGACAGGTGTTTTATCATAAAATAGTGGTTGCCTTCTTAATTTGTACAAATGTATCCCAAAACTTGGTGGTCCCAGACCTGCATTATGAGAGGTGGAACACTCTCGATGTTTGTGGTCGAACAATGTTAGAGAGTTTCCATCGAGGTCTTGAAAGAGAACTGTGAGTGGGAAGATAAAAATCATTACACCATTGTAGATACAGATGATATTTGTAAGGTTTCCTTTAATTTTAGTTTTTTTGATTGCAATAAAATTTCTATTTTTCTTTCCTTTATAACTAAACTTTTATTCTTTTCATATTATTATTAAATAATAATTATTAAAAATATTTTTATTTTATAATTTTTTTAATTTAAATATTAGAGGATATATCAAATCAAATTACATTACTAAATAAAAATATCTATCTTCAAATCACATAATAGAAAATTCCATGTTTCTAATTATTTTTTATATGTAAGATCTATGAAAAGATTATTTTGATAATTCTTAGAAATGTATTTATGTGTGTAATTAACCGGGCGTGAGACAAAAAATTACTTTATTTTTTATTTTATTTTACTGTGCTATTCCTTTTTTCTTCTTATTTGTAATAGAGTGTAGCATGTAGATATTTTGGTTGAGCAAGTTAGTCGGTCGTTTAAACTTATTTCATTACATATAGATTTAAATTTTAAATTTGAATTAAATTAACATGTTTAATCTAATATAATCATTCATCGGAATAAAGTATTTTTTAAAAAGAAAAACTTATAGAAAATATCATGCCTTTTTCTTGTTTCTGTTTTCAAAATTATTATAAGCCAATAATGTAGAGTTTGTTATATTCTTTTAATATGTATGATAAATTGGTCCAAAATAATTTTTTTCTCTCTATATATTCATGATTCATTTGTTTTATTTAATTTTTATTACTAAAATAAATATATTTTTATATGTTTGTCTGAGTTAATTATTTTAAAAATATGCAATTTTCAATCATTTAAGAAATAAATAATAATTTTATAATCATTTTTTTTAAATTTAAATACATTGTTCTCGTATCAACTTATAACATGAATAATTAAATAAGATAGCTTCTAAATTGTTAAGGTCTATTTATTGGTAAGGGATTATAATTATATATGTAAGATATGGAGTTTGAACTTTAAAATTATTATTGTAATTTTTATTGGTAAAAAAAAATTAAAAGCTCTTATGAAAATTAAGTGCATGGATTAATTTTTAACTTTAGAAAAACTCAATTTATTTTATACGATTATACTTCACAACTTTATCTTTTAGAAAAAAATATATTAAAATATTAATTATTGATTATTCATTTAACAACTATAATTTTGTATTAATTTAGTTTTTGAAATCAAATTCTTTATTATTATTTTTAAAATGAAATTACTAAAAAAGAAGTGGAATGAAAAAAAAAGTAAAATAAGATAATTTTTAGATTATATTTTCTGTAAAATATAATTATATATTAAATATTTTAAAAACTATTTATATATAAATTAGATAGTTATATTAAACGAGTTTAGGAAGTCTTTTTTTAATGAAAATATTTTTAAGGGTTTCTTTAATTACTTATTTTTTTATTATTTATCAATTGTTATTTGTTAAATTTAATTTTAATACATATCTAAAAAAATTTCATGATTAAAAGAGTTTTATATAACAATATTAATTATTTATAATAAATTTAAAATAATTTTTATAGAAAAATATTTATTATTTATAAATTTGAATTACATAAAATAAATATTTATATTTATATTAAAATAAAAAAAATTATAACAAAAAAAGAATTTAATATTTAAAACTTAAAGAGATTATTTCGTTAAATTGTAATTTTTGTTATCAATTTTTTAACAAAATATTTAATAGTATTAAGTATTAACATGTAAATACGAGAAATTGTTCGACAAAGTATTTATTCCTCACTCGCTGTCTCTAGGCACCCTCTCTCTCGCTCTCAGTTTATCATTATTGTGTCTGTCTCACTCATCATTCGTTTGGGTTCTTCTCTCTTCGAAGTTCAAATGGCTGTAGAGAAACAAAGTAGGACAACAAAGAAGTCAAAGAACACGGACAAGGGTAAGTACAAGCTTTCATAAATGGATTCTCTTTCTTTTCTCTTCTTTACCTTGTGATTACTTTTCCTTCTTTGATCTTGCTTTTCTCTTCTTTACCTTGTGATTGCTTTTCCTTCTTTGATTTTGAAGTGAACTCGATTCTTGTTTCTATGTTTTCTGATTCTCTGTTTTTTTCTTTCTTCTGTTTGGAGTGCTATGAGAGACCGGATCCTTTGCTGTCCTTATTGCTGTTTTTGATTCCTCTTTCTGGGTCTAGGTTCTTTCTTGCGTTTTCTTGTTTTCAAAACCGGTGTTTTTCTTTTTTCGGAGTGCTATGAGACTGGATCCTTCGCTGTCCTTATTGCTGTTTTTGATTCCTCTTTCTGGGTCTAGTTTTTTTTTTTTGCGTTTTCTTGTTTTCAAAACCGGTGTTTTTCTTTTTTTTATTGATTTTGATTGCATGCAAGAACAAGAATGATGACAGGATACAAATCTGCCATATGCAAATTTGAATGGTCATGATTTTGAATGCATGCAAGAACAAGAATGATGACAGAGGATACTAATCCGCTGTATGCAAATTTCAATGATCATGTTTCCGTTGTATTTCAGGTGTTGGGACTTGGTGTTGCTGTGATCTTGCATCTCGACAAGAAGTGTATTGTTTTTTCTTTGGTGAATTCAAGAATTGCTTTCTATCACTTGGTAAATGAGTAATTTGAAATTAAATTTAATTTGCAAAGTTTATGCTAGTATTAAAAGTTACTTAATTATATGAGTATTGATGACATTTTTGTTTTTCTGTAGGTTTAATTTAATCTGTACTACTTTTTCTAAAGAATGACCGGAGTGCTCATTTCTGGGGATGATCTTTATTGATAATTTAACATTGAATGATAGAATGTATATGCATCTGTTGTGATTGGTTCCGATATAGTTCCTATGTTGGTATTAACAAGGTAGGACCAGATCCATACTATATGGAACCAACATCTTGTAACAATGGTGTTGCCGAAACATGATAAAGAATCTTTTTTGCGCTTACAGTAAGAAGATTTCATCTCCTTGCAGAAAGGTTTTTTTTTTTCTTTTTTTTTTCAAGAATTATTATTTTTATCTTGATTCACCTTTCTAATTCCTTGTGAATTTTCACAGGTCAACAATGGCGTTGCTGCCTTAGAGAAACCATGCTGCCAGCCAAAAATCCCAATAAAGGAATATGTTTATTTTGGGTAATAATTATGTTCACGTAAAATAATTATAACAACACCATCTTTTTATTGCCACAGCTCCTTGCATGTTGTTCTCCTTGTTGGCACTAGGAAGGCTAATGCAATGCAACCAATGGTTACTATTGAGGGCTTTATTCTTAGGTTGCTCATAAAGACTGTCTTGTCCTCGGTGCAACAGGATCTGGTTTTGTTCTTTAAGTATTCAATAATTTTGCCTTAGGACATGTTTGGATAATTTTTTCTTGAAACACTTTTAAAAGAGAAAAGGAAATAAAAATGAAATAAACTTTCCCAACTAACTGATGAATCAAAGAAAAGAAGATTTTGAAAAAGCTAATAAGAAAGAACTTCTACAATATGGCTTATGCATAAGTTAATTTTAGTTTTCAAAAAAAATTGTTGTGGTACTAAAGCATAATAATTTATATTCTCAAGTCTCATGTTTAGGGCCTGGTCCCGTAATTTTACTTTTTTAATTTTATGATGTTTTATTTTAACACATTTCTTTTACAACATGTTACCATCTCGAATATCAATAAACTAGAGTTAACAGTTGGCACCAAACTTACTGGATTTTGTTCATTTAGACTATGTTATTCAGTATCTTGACCTTACACATAGAATCAATATACACCCTGGATCAAATATATACATGAATTATAAGTACATGTATACTTATCAAATATCTTATCTAATTGCATGATTTTAGTTCCTTATTTTATATACTTGTGTGCAGGTAGTGATACTAAGGAGTACCTAAGGAGGCCTCCAATATAATTATATGAAGGTATGCAACAGTACTTGTATACCTAGTCTTCTTTTGATACGAAAGTTGATGGTCAGTCTAGTCCTTCAGGAATATCATCATACTAATTTTTACTCACAAGGAAAGGGTGTCACGGAACAATAATTCTATCTTTGGTTTGACCCAACCGCAAATTTTCTCACTTAAAATTCATCTTCTAATAAATAAGATAATATTTGTTTAATTTACAAACTTAAAACATATGTATTCATATCATATTGTATATATTTTTAACACATTATTCACTATTGTTTAACAGGTTTTTTAATTACCTTTTATTTTTTAAAACATTATGATGTATGGTAATATAATTTTATTTAAATTTTCAAGTTTCGTAAAACTATAATTATTATTAGTCTAATATTTTTTTTGCATTATTTTTAATTTATCATTAGCATTTTTTATATTTTGAAAGTTTATCATATGGTCAAATATGTTGTTTTTATGTTGAGTGTGTAAAATAATTTTTGCCTTTTGTCTCATTTGAAAGAAAAAGTCTTGTGTGATATTGTTGTCATTCACCAAAAAATCTATTTTTGGTTGTATATAACATTAATAAGATGAACGTTAGTGACATTTAATAGTTTTATTTTCTCAAATTTATTGAAATGCGAGAAATTGTTTGACAAATAGTGTTAACTTAGTAATAAATGCGAGAAATTGTTTGACAAAACAAGTCTATTTATACCTTTTCTCTCTTCCACTGAATGAACTCACAATCCGTTCCACTGCGCGAGTTTATTCCTCACTTGCTGTCTCTAGACCCCCTCTCTCTCTCTCTCATCATTCGTTTCAGTTTTTCACTGTCAATCATACTCGATCACTTTTCTGTTGTTGTTTGTCTTCGTTACTCATTAGGATTTTAAGCGTTCTGTAGTGCCTTGTGCCTCTTTCGTCTGCTTAAGTTCAAATGGCCGCAGAGAAACAATAAATAGAACCTTTCATAGATGGATTTTACCTCTTCCATCTCTTTCTTTTCTCTTCTTTACCTTGTCATTACTTTTCCATCTTTGATCTTGCTTTTCTCTTCTTTACCTTGTGATTGCTTTTCCTTCTTTAATTTTGATTTGAACTCGATTCTTGTTTCTATGTTTTCTGATTGTCTCTTTTTTTCTTTCTGTTTGGAGTGCTATGAGAGTCTGGATCCTTTGCTGTCGTTATTGTTGTTTTTGATTCCTCTTTCTGGGTCTAGGTTCTTTCTTGAACTTGCGTTTTCTTATTTTTCTTATTTTCAAAACCAGTGTTTTTCTTTTTTTGGAGTGCTATGAAACTGGATCCTTCACTGTCCTTATTGCTGTTTTTGATTCCTCTTTCAGGGTCTTGGTTTTTTCTTGAACTTGCGTTTTCTTGTTTTCAAAACCGGTGTTTTTTTTTTTATTGATTTTGATTGCATTCAAGAACAAGAAAGATGACAGAGGATACAAATCCGCCATATGCAAATTTGAATGGTCATGATTTTGAATGCATGCAAGAACAAGAATGATGACAAAGGATACTAATCTGCTGTATGTAAATTAATTTTAATAATCATGTTTCCATTGTATTTCAGGTGTTGGGACTTGGGGTTGCTGGGCTAGGCTGGTGTGTGATCTTGCATCTCGACAAGAAGTGTGTTGTTTTTTCTTTGGTGAATTCAAGAATTGTTTTCTGTCACGTGGTAAGTGAGTAATTTGAAATTAAATTAAATTTGCAAAGTTTATGCTAGTATTAAAAGTTACTTAATTATGAGTACCGATGACATTTTTGTTTTTACAAAATGACCAGAGTGCTCATTTCTGGGGATGATCTTTGAGCTTGAGGTGAATTACTTTCTACATATATGTATGACTAACTACTTGCCCTTTTCCGTTATTTTCCAGCTCTAGGCTGTGAGATTTGGTCTGAAATAATCAAAGTTCTTCAACATTCTTGAACAATTCAATGTTGCATCCCTTCTTGATTTGAATTGAACAGCTCTTCATTTTCTATAGTTGTAATTTTTTACCAATCGAAACTCAAGAATACCATTCTTGTTGAAATTCTTGAATGTGTATTTTATTCTTTTTTTTTTGTTGGCTGTTTTTAACCATTTTTATAAAATACATTATTTCTAGCCTCTAATGTATTTGGTACATTCTATTTTCAATCTTTTTGTTTATATCCTAAGGTTTTGTTCATATAAATGTTTTTATTCCAATTTCTTTCATTTCTTATATATATATATATATCTATATATCCTAAGGTTTTGTTCATATAAATGTTTTTATTCCAATTTCTTTCATTTCTTATATATATATATATATATATATATATATATATATATATTATATTTTCTAGTTATAGATAATGATAATGATTTTACATTATGTTTTGTGAATTTATTATATGTGGGTATAACTGTAGCAGCATACTTACATTTGATGTTAACAAGGGAAACAGAGTGGGGTAAAGTGTCAATAATTTAAATCCGTTTTAAAGTTGATTATCATTTCAAAATTGGTTTTAAAATTGATTATAGTTTTCAACTAGTTTATGATTTGAAATATATATTAAAACTAGACTGATTTTAAATTGATTTTGAACCGTAAATTGATTTTTAAGCCAAATTGGTTTAAGAAGAATTTAAACCATCAATTAATTTTAAACAGATTGAAAAATAATAAACAAGTATGCATTTAAGATAAATTTGAATATGATTTATTTTGTTAAAATTAGTTTAAAAAACTGATTTATGATTTTAACCTAGCTTTGAAACCCAACCGAATCTCTCCAATTTTAAACCTGATTTTTAAAATTCAAACAAATTATATTCCTGTACAGAATGAACAATGTTGGAATTGCTCAATTAGCGTGATGGTTTCAGTAGTGATGACATAATTAAGGCTTGTCTTTATTTGCTATTGTCTATATGTTTTTTCTTGATCGATGTGTTATAAGTAAGTTTCAAAAAATTTCGCTGTTTGTGGTACTAAAGCATAATAATTTATATTCTCAAGTCTCTTGTTTAGGGGCTGGTCCCGTAATTATAGTTTTTTATTCTTATGACGTCTTATTTTAACATATTTCTTTTACAACATGTTAACATCTTGAATATCAATAAACTAGATTTAACGGTTGGCACCAAACTTACTAGATTTTGTTCATTTAGACATTGTTATTCAATAGTCATGTTCATTTATTCTTGTCAATTGCAGGTTATAGTAGCAATAAACTGTGCAGATATTCTTTACCCCACCCTTATGCATTCTTGGCTACTGGATTTTAAAATTGAGTTTTTGCACCCAATTGAAGAAGGGCTCAGATTCTACAGGTCTAGAGTCTTCAAACTTTATCTGCTGAGATATTTTTGGTACAAAACATTTAATGACTACTCTCACTTTGATATTCTAGATCCATTCAAGGAGGAATGAATGTTCACCTTGATGTCAACTTTGAAGAACTTGCTTCTTCTACAGGTGATTTCAATGGAGCACAACTAAAGGCTGTATGTGTTGAGGCTGGCATGTTGGCACTGTGCTGTGATGCAATCGAGGTTTGTTTTCTTTCGTTGTACTACTTAAATAACTTAAAATCAATTTTTTGAAAAGAAAATGAGCACCATAATAAATATAGTGGGCACTAATGTGTTGATCTTTCTCTTTGAAGTTTTTTGTTTTTTAACGTTTGCTATTTTTTTTATGAACATCAACATAATCTGACATATATATGAAATTTATTGAATCAATTTTGTTTTCAGATAATAAAGAATGTTAGTCACAAAAAACTGAGATTGTTTGAAATTTGTTGAACATAATAAATCGTAGTGAGATATGGGAGACATCAAGATTTGTGATTTTCAACAAATTGCAAACAAAATAAAAAGTGTTAGACTCAAAATCACTTGAGATTATTTGAAGTTTATTGAAAATAATAAATTTTAGTGAGATGCTGGAGTCATCGAGATGTGTAATTTTCAATAAATTTCAGCTATTAATAGTTAGACAAAATATTTGATATTGCTTGAATTTTGTTATAAACAATAAATCTTAGTGACATGCAGGAGTTACCAGGTTTTTTAATTTTCAATAAATTACAACTATTATTAGTGTTAAGATAAGAAATACTGGAGTTTATTGAAAATAATAAATCCCAGTGAGTTGGGAGAATCATTGAGATTTGAATTTTCAACAAATTTTAGCTATTAATAGTCTGATAATAAATATTGGAGATTGTTTGAAATTTATTGAGAATAATACATTTTAGTGAGATGTGGGACTCATTGAGATTTATAATTTTCAATGAATTTCAAGTCTAAATAGTGTTAGACAAAATATTTGATATTTGTTGAATCTTATTGAAAATAATAAATCTTAGTGAGATGCGGGAGTCACCGAGATTTATAATTTTCAATAAATTGTAGCTATTAGTAGTCTTAAGATAAAAAGTTATGGAGTTTATTGAAAATAACAAATCTTAGTGAGTTGCGAGAGTCGTTGAGATATGTAATTTTCAATAATTTCAGCTATTAATAGTCTTAGACAAAAAGTATTGGAAGTTGTTTGAAATTTATTGAAAATAATAAATCTTAGTGAATGCGGGAGTCACAGAGATTTATAATTTTCAATAAATTGTAGCTCTTAATAGTGTTAAGATAAAAAAAAATTGGAGTTTATTGAAAACAATAAAGCTTAGTGAGTTGCCGCGGGAGTCGTTGAGATTTGTAATTTTTAATAAATTTTAGAAAATAATAAAAAATGTTCGACACGACATTTGATATTGTTTGAAATTTATTGAAAATAATAAATCTTAATGAGATGCGGGAGTCATCGAAATTTGTAATTTATCAAGGAATTCCAGCTTTGAATAGTGTTAGAAAAAATATTTGATATTACTTGAATCTTTGTGAAAATATTAGTGTTACATAAAAATGTTGCAGATTACTTGAAAATTTATGAAAATAGCCAATCTTAGTGAGATGCGAGAGGCCCCGAGATTTGTAAGATTTGTAATAGTCAATGAATTTCAGCTATGAATAGTATTAGACAAAATATTTGATATTTCTTTAAACTTATTGAAAATAATAAATGTTAGTGAGAAGCGTGAGTCACCGAGATTTATAATTTTCAATAAATTGCAGCTTTTAATAGGGATAGATAAAAAAATATTGGAGTTTGTTGAAAATAATAAATCTTAGTGACATGCAGGATTCACCGAGATTTGTAATTTTTAATGAATTTTAGCTATGAATAGTGTTAGATAAAATATTTGATATTGCTTGAAACTTATTGAAAATTATAAGAGAATGCTTGAAATTTATTGAAGATAATAAATCTTAGTGAGTTGCGGGAGTCATTGATATTTGTTATTTTCAATAAATATCAGTTATTATTAGTCTTAGACAAAAAATATTGGAGAATGCTTGAAATTTATTGAAGATAATAAATCTTAGTGAGATGCGGGAGTCACCAAGATTTATAATTTTCAATGAATTTCAAGTCTGAATAGTGTTAGACCAAATATTTGATATTGCTTGAAACTTATTGAAAATTATAAATCTTAGTGAAATGCGGGAGTCACTGAGATTTATAATTTTCAACAAATTGCAGCTATTAATAGTGTTAAGATGAAAAAATATTGGAGTTTATTGAAAATAATAAATCTTAGTGAGTTGAGGGAGTCATTAAGATTTGTTATTTTCAATAATTTCAGCTATGGATAGTCTTAGACAAAAAATATTGAAATTTTTTGAAAATAATAAATCTTAGTGAGAAGCGCGAGTCACCGAGATTTATAATTTTAAAAAAATTTCAGCTTTTAATAGGGATAAGATAAAAAAATATTGGAGTTTGTTGAAAATAATAAATCTTAGTGAGAAGCGCGAGTCACCGAGATTTATAATTTTAAAAAAATTTCAGCTTTTAATAGGGATAAGATAAAAAAATATTGGAGTTTGTTGAAAATAATAAATCTTAGTGAAATGCGGGAGTCACCGAGATTTGTAATTTTCAATGAATTTCAACTATGAATAGGGATAAGATAAAAAATATTGGAGTTTGTTGAAAATAATAAATCTTAGTGAAATGCGGGAGTCACCGAGATTTGTAATTTTCAATGAATTTCAACTATGAATAGTGTTAGACAAAATATTTGATATTGCTTGAAACTTATTGAAAATTATAAATCTTAGTGAAATGCGGGAGTCACCGAGATTTATAATTTTCAATAAATTGTAGTTAATAATAGTGATAAGATAAAAAAAATATAGGAGTTTATGAAAAATAATAAATGTTAGTGATTTGTGGGAGTTATTGATAGTTGTTATTTTCAATAAATATAAGCTATTATTAGTCAGACAAAAAATATTAGAGAATGCTTGAAATTTATTGAAGATAATAAATCTTAGTGAGATGCGGGAATCACCGAGATTTATAATTTTCAATGAATTTCAAGTCTGAATAGTGTCAGACAAAATATTTGGTATTGCTTGAAACTTATTGAAAATTATAAATCTTAGTGAAATGCGGGAGTTACCGAGATTTATAATTTTCAACAAATTGCAGTTATTAATAGTGTTAAGATGAAAAAATATTGGAGTTTATTGAAAATAATAAATCTTAGTGAGTTGATGGAGTCATTAAGGTTTGTTATTTTCAATAAATTTCAGCTATGGATAGTCTTAGACAAAAAATTGAAATTTTTTGAAAATAATAAATCTTAGTGAGACGCGGGAGCCACCGAGATTTATAATTCTCAATGAGTTTCAAGTGTGAATTGCTCTAAACAAAATATTTGATATTGCGTGAATCTTATTGAAAATAATAAATCTTAGTGAGAAGCGGGAGTCACCGAGATTTATAATTTTCAATAAATTTCAGCTTTTAATAGGGATAAGATAAAAAAATTTTGGAGTTTGTTGAAAATAATAAATCTTAGTGAAATGCGGGAGTCACCGAGATTTGTAATTTTCAATGAATTTCAACTATGAATAGTGTTAGACAATATTTGATATTGCTTGAAACTTATTAAAAATTATAAATCTTAGTGAAATGCGGGAGTCACCGAGATTTATAATTTTCAATAAATTGCAGCTATTAATAGTGTTAAGATGAAAAAATATTGGAGTTTATTGAAAATAATAAATCTTAGTGAGTTGAGGGAGTCATTAAGATTTGTTATTTTCAATAAATTTCAGCTATGGATAGTCTTAGACAAAAAATTGAAATTTTTTGAAAATAATAAATCTTAGTGAGATTTGGGAGTCACCGAGATTTATAATTCTCAATGAGTTTCAAGTGTGAATTGCTATAGACAAAATATTTGAAACTGCTTGAATCTATTGAAAATAATAAATCTTAGTGAGAAGCGGGAGTCACCGAGATTTATAATTTTCAATAAATTTCAGCTTTTAATAGGGATAAGATAAAAAGATATTGGAGTTTGTTGAAAATAATAAATCTTAGTGAAATGCGGGAGTCACCGAGATTTATAATTTTCAATGAATTTCAACTATGAATAGTGTTAGACAATATTTGATATTGCTTGAAACTTATTAAAAATTATAAATCTTAGTGAAATGCGGGAGTCACCGAGATTTATAATTTTCAACAAATTGCAGCTATTAATAGTGTTAAGATGAAAAAATATTGGAGTTTATTAAAAATAATAAATCTTAGTGAGTTGAGTGAGTCATTAAGATTTGTTATTTTCAATAAATTTCAGCTATGGATAGTCTTAGACAAAAAAAATTGAAATTTTTTGAAAATAATAAATTTTAGTGAGATGCGGGAGTCACCGAGATTTATAATTTTCAATAAATTGCAGCTTTTAATAGTCTTAGACAAAAAAAATTGAAATTTTTTGAAAATAATAAATTTTAGTGAGATGCGGGAGTCACCGAGATTTATAATTTTCAATAAATTTCAGCTTTTAATAGGGATAAGAAAAAAAAATATTGGAGGTTGTTGAAAATAATAAATCTTAGTGAAATGCGGGAGTCTCCGAGATTTGTAATTTTCAATGAATTTCAACTATGAATAGTGTTAGACAAAATATTTGATATTGCTTGAAACTTATTGAAAATTATAAATCTTATTGAAATGCGGGAGTCACCAAGATTTATAATTTTCAATAAATTGTAGTTAATAATAGTGATAAGATAAAAAAATATAGGAGTTTATTGAAAATAATAAATGTTAGTGATTTGTGGGAGTTATTGATATTTGTTATTTTCAATAAATATCAGCTATTATTAGTCTTAGACCAAAAATATTGGAGATTGCTTGAAATTTATTGAAGATAATAAATCTTAGTGAGATGCGGGAGTTATCGAGATTTATAATTTTCAATGAATTTCAAGTCTGAATAGTGTCGGACAAAATATTTGGTATTGCTTGAAACTTATTGAAAATTATAAATCTTAGTGAAATGCGGGAGTCATCGAGATTTATAATTTTCAACAAATAGCAGCTATTAATAGTGTTAAGATGAAAAAATATTGGAGTTTATTAAAAATAATAAATCTTAGTGAGATTCGGGAGTTATCGAGATTTATAATTTTCAATAAATTATAGCTAATAATAGTGATAAGATAAAAAAAATATAGGAGCTTATTAAAAATAATAAATCTTAGTGAGATTCGGGAGTTATCGAGATTTATAATTTTCAATAAATTATAGCTAATAATAGTGATAAGATAAAAAAAATATAGGAGCTTATTAAAAATAATAAATCTTAGTGAGATTCGGGAGTTATCGAGATTTATAATTTTCAATAAATTATAGCTAATAATAGTGATAAGATAAAAAAAATATAGGAGCTTATTAAAAATAATAAATCTTAGTGAGATTCGGGAGTTATCGAGATTTATAATTTTCAATAAGTTTCAAGCAATACCAAATATTTTGTCCGACACTATTCAGACTTGAAATTCATTGAAAATTATAAATCTTAGTGAAATGCGGGAGTCACCGAGATTTATAATTTTCAATAAATTATAGCTAATAATAGTGATAAGATAAAAAAAATATAGGAGTTTATTAAAAATAATAAATCTTAGTGAGTTGTGGGAGTCATTGATATTTGTTATTTTCAATAAATATCAGCTATTATTAG